GCACAGAATGAAACTGAGAAGGTCAGCTGCAAACTCACTAGCAGCCAGCTAATGAGAGCTTCCGTTTCTCTGTTTACAGTGGATCAGTCCCTCGTAAGACAGGTTATATATGTGTGTTTATGCACAGGCTTATACTGCTATGAATAAATCCATCCTCTAACCGCTTATCTGGTCAGGCTTGCAGGAGTCCTGGAGCCAATCCCAGGCAGGACAGGGCAGAAGGCTGGAGACTCCCTGAATGGGATGATAGTCCACTGCAGGGTACAAATCATTAAAATGCTATAAGCCTTATGTTTAATATTGCAGTTATTTGTTCAAGTAGTCGTTTCGAGTATTTCCATTGGTTCCATCTCTTACCACGATCTCGCATGAATCTGAGCATTCAAATAACGCATCACCTGGATCATGAAGACACCTCACCAAGGTTATCTCCAAGGCTTGATTTGGAAACTGTCATGATGCTAGAGATAATTTGCCATCATGTGGCCTCTCTGACACATTGACTAAACATCCAGTTTATCACAATCAGAATGGAGGCCGCTGACACTGGGGGCTGCTGGGGTGGTATCTGGCTGGCTCTTTGCCTCTATTTCCCAGCTGTAATTCAGCAAGCTAGGACACGTACCAGCTACACCTCTGCTCATTATCTTCTTTGAAATCCCTCCCCACTCTATCACTCCCCCACTCCCACAGCCCTAATTTAATCACGGAATGCAGCAAATGAAAGTAAAATTTATGTCATATGGAATTGAATTAGCTAAGTAAAGCCTAACTTTGCATACAGGAAATAGAGACTCTGGGTGTATTCCAGTGTCACATTACTCCTCTACTACAGCCAGTGCAGATTTCCTTCTGTTTCTTTTCTTGCACCAGGTTGTGACGTTTCTGTTATTTTCAGCAAATGCAGACTGTGAACGTTTTCATGTGACCAAGTACAAAGACATATTTGAATGATTCTAGCCACGGAATTCACCAGCCATAAAATAGGAATGAAAAGACTAATTGATCATTAAAGCTCAAAATCCACTTGCACGCTACTCAGATCTATCTTTCAACCGCTTATCCTGGTCAGGAGGTCACTGCTGGACCTGGAGCTGGATCTTGAGCAGGCAGCACAGAGAACAAGGCTGGGGTCCCTCTGTCAGACCTGGAGCCGGACCTTGAGCAGGCAGCACAGAGAACAAGGCTGGGGTCCCTCTGTCACAGCTAATCACTTTGCAATATTTAGTGGACAGCTTGCCAAATGCAGCTATACATATCTGTTTGAATGAAAGAGTCTCACAGTTTCCCTCGGAAGTCCTGCCTTTATTGCACAGACCAGTGGCAAGCACTCTCACTCTGTTAATAGTGGCGTAGACAGAGCGAGACAATCATTTACATAACACTCACACTCAGGGCGACACATTAATAAAACATGCATTTTACAGTGGGTCGATCCACAGTATGACACTTACTATTTACAAGATAAAATATGCAGGAGGTGCATATTAACAACAGAACAACACACACTATTGGCACCGGTAACCTGCATACCGGTAACCTGCATAATTAATGTACTGACCAGCCTCACAGAGTCACAATATTTGTTTTGCAATAAGGAGCATGTGCTGCTTGGATCGGTAATAAGATTCTAATGGAAATATAAGGAGTGACACTTTTGTGTATGTTGGGCCTTATATGCTGTGCATCAAACAGCTCTCTTGATATTTAGCATTTGCTGAGAGAGAAGCTGAAATAATATACTAGCTTTGTTTTCCCACAGTGCTGCAGTGGTGCAATGGTTACCAGGGTTTGGGTCTCTACGTGTGTGGAGTTTGCATGTTCTCCTCCAGAGTTGCCAAATTGTCCATAAGTATGAATCGTCTGTGTGAGCCATCCTAGGTTTTTCCCTGCCTTATACTCGTAGCTGCTAGGTTCAGCTCCGGACCCCAGCAACCCTGCATAAGGCAAGGAAGTATACAGGATGGATGGGGTAGGTTAGGGGTGGGACCTATTGCCATCCTGAACTGTAATTTAACAAGTAAACAGTGTTTTGTTTATGCATTGTATTATATGCATTGGAATAACAAATGACCTTAAATGGTTTATGAAATGCATCCAGTGCCTGGGAGGAGGGGAGCTTGCAGGCGAGCATCTGGTGGTCGGGTCTCTGTATGTTTTGGTCACCTGGGTGAAGAGAGGAGCTGAGCTTTGAACTGATTGTTATCTGGTGGTCGGGTAGATTAGATGGCAGAGGAAAATGCCAAACTGATCTGGTAGGTCCAACATATATATATGGGTTTGCTGGGAGCATCTGGCAGAGGCCCCTCTCCAGGAGATCTCCAACTCCTACCTCCGGCAGAACTTCTCTTGCATTCCAAGGGAGGCTGGAGACATTGGTCCTGAGTGGGCCTTATTCCGTGTCTGCATTGCTGAGGCAGCTATGTAGAGCTGTGTCCGTAAGTTTGTTGATGCCTGTCGCAGTGGCAACTCCCAAAGCCGGCGGTGGACACTAGCAGTAAAGGGAGTCCTCAGTCTGAAGAAGAAGGTCTTCTGAGCTTCATTAGCTTTTGGGACCCTGGAGCTAGCTGACAGGTATTGGCTGGACGAGCGGAGTGTGCCGTTGGCAGTTGCGGAAGCAAAAGGCCATGAAAAATGACTTTCGGTCACCACTAAGAAATTCTGGCAAAGTGTCAGGTGACGTTGGAGGGTTTGCCAGTTATGCTTACAGCAGGGATGGAGTCCTGTTGACCTGGGGATATAGTCGGATGGTGGAAGGAGCACTTCGAGGACCTCCGGAATCCCTTAAAAAACTCCTCAGTGGTAAGACTCCAGGAATGGATGAGAATTCTCCCTGAGTTCTTGAAGGCTTTGCATATTGTTAGGTCTTAGCTGAGATGCCACTTCAGCCTTGCATAGGGATCAGGGACAGTGCTTCTGGATGGGCAGATGAGGGGGTGGTCCCAGTCTTTAAGAATGGGGACTGGAGGGTATGTTCCACCTTCAGAGGGATTGTACTCTCCTCCTTTTGTCCCGTTACCCACTATTGACGGCATACATCTGTCCCTTTGTCCCCATACATAACTCTTCTCCCTTTATCTCCATACCCACGCTTCCCTGTAGAACTCTCATCCAGTGTGCCTCCAGCATCCTCGCTGATCACATTTGTTGCAGTGCTGTGTTATAAAAGTGTATAAAAAGCATGATTTTTTATTGCTCTGTCATCCCTTGATACATGATATTTTTTCATTGCTCTATCATCTCTAGAGAATTAGCCTTAAACATCAGAATGCCTTTCAGTGAGAGAGAGGGAGAGAGTACAGTACTGTACTGTACAGTGATGTGAATAATGTACAATGTATTCAATGATGGTAATGTCATACTATACATAATTAATCAGTTCAATTTTACCATATATATGTACTCAAAAATCACGTTATATATAGTTCGCTATTATTCGCTATTTGTAATATATCACCTGCAGATACAGGGGGCTACTGTATATTCCCCCAGAAATTGGCCAAGGTGATGTAAATGTTGAAATACATGAAGTGAACTTCATGCAGGGTTGTTCATCGTGTTTGTCAATTATTGAAAATAGAATTGCATTTTGCAAGTAGCTTTTAATAATCAGCAGTAAAACAGTTATATGTTGATTGTCCATAACAAGCAACATCTTTATTTTCTGTGAGGCAAACTATGGTGGGCAGTGGTGCCCTGATGCTTAGGGAAGCGCACTTGTAATCGAAAGACTGCTGGTTCAAATCCCTGACCAGTAGCTGAGGTACCACTGAGGTACCCTGAGCAAGGTCCCGCCCCCCAGCCCTGCTCCCCAGGCGCTGAATTAGCTGCCCTCTGCTATGGCATGACGTCACATATGGGTTAAATGCAGAGGACACATTTCGTTGTTGTGCACTGTGTGCTGTGGTGTGTTAACAATGATCACTGATCACCAAATTCTAAATAAGGTTGCTCCTTGTTGCCTTTTTCTTTGTTTTCAGTCCAGCAGGGACAAGTGGTAGTTTTCATGTGAGTAAAATCATGTTACTACGTGAAGAAAATCATCAGCGCATTGTTGATTTACCTTAGCTGCACACAATAAGCTCTGTTAACGACAACAAATAATAATAATAATAATAACAATAGTAATACATTGTTTAATATCTTAATAGAGCTCTTTCCCAAAGGGAAAAAATGCAAAAGTTGAGATGAACCTAATTATTAATCGGATCACAGATAGTCATAACGACAGTTTGATGTTGATAATAACACCATATACAGCTGGAAAATGAACAGATTCTGTTCCGTGTCAGTTATTCCTGGGTGGTGAAAACATTTAGCAGTTAGCACCTCCCCCTCTCGACGTTTTGAATTAATAATTTCAGAATGTAGAATTGGTGGGGAGTCTAAAAATTTATGAAGTCAAAATACAGTCATGTGCTGCATAACAACGTTTCAGTAAACAACTGACTGCGTATATGATGGTGGTCCGACAACATTTCAGTATAATGGAGCTAAAAAATTCCTGTTGCTAGTGATGTCATAGCTGAAACAACACAGTGCACACTACTTACTAATAAACACTTATGTTACTGGTTTATGTATTTACTATACTGTATTTTTTATTGTTATTTTAAAGTGTACTCTTTCTACATATATTCATATAGTTTACTGTGTGTAGGTGTGTAGTGGGCTGTACCATCTACTGTAGGTTTGTAAAAGTATTCTCTGATGTTTGCACAACCACGAAATCACCTAGCAACGCAATCCTCAGAATGTATCCCTGTCCTTAAGCAGCACATGACTGTATGTGTGTCCATGATGTATGTAAATATTATTATTATAATAGTGGGTTTTTCATGATGTTTGGTCTCATGTTAGAGGCATTAATAATGAAATGACTGGCACTGAATGTGCACAATGCTTTCCCTCTCCTTGCATTACCCCTTGATTTTCACTGTATTTTTGCATTTGGCTCTTGGCCAGTAGATTATAGTGAGTCTGTCTGTGCTGTTCACCAGGGAAGCCTGATCGCTCTGCTGCTGCTGGTCCTGCTCTTCGCCATGGTTCTGTACGCACGGCGGCACTGGTGTAAACGCCGTCATGTGCCCCAGAAGAGAGGGAGCACCGAGGCGACCCACGAGATCCACTACATCCCGTCTGTGCTGCTGGGGCCACAGGGTCGTGACGGCTTCCATAACAGCCGGCTGCAGCCGCCCGATCCCGTCATCAGCATGTCCATTCGGGAGACGCCCATCCTGGACGATTATGACTGTGAGGAGGACGAGCGTCTGGGCCAGAACATCGACCGGCTGCACAACCAGCTGTGCAGCCAGGCTGCTGACTACAAGGGGGAGGAAATTTACAGCACCAAAGTGACCCACACCATGGAGAGAATGTACAAGACAGAAGACAGCCATAAACGTGGACCTGATCAGAGAGGTGAGCTTCATCTCCATTCAGCATAGTCTGTCTTTTAGCAGTTTAACACAGACAGACAGACAGACCGATCTCTGCCAGTCGCTCTGTCTGTCTATATAGAAATTGATACACTTTACTTATAATAATACATTTGTTTTCAATATACAGTGGCTCCAACAATGATTCACCCCTTTGGGCTCATCTATCCAGTTCTAAATATATCTTATTTACAGTTTCATTTAAACATTCCAGGCTCCAGGATACAGATTTTTCTTTTCCCACTTCAGTAAAGCTTCTTCTGTATGGTTTGGGTCACTGTCCATCTGGAAGATGAATCTCCCTGGCTTCTTGCAGACTGCAGCATATGTTCCTGTAAGATTTCTCTGTACCCAGCACCATTCATTTTGCTGCCTCTTTTCATGAGTTTTCAGTACATGAGACAGAGAAGGGTCCCTGTGACGATATGCTGCCAGCGTGCTTCCCCGTGTAGCGTCCGTGCTCACGATGATGCTCACTATTAGCCTGGTGCCAAACATAGGGCTTAGCACTGATGCCAAAAGTTCCATGTTAGTTTCGTCAGACCATGAAATCATCTTGGCCTCTCAGTCTCCCATGTGCCTTCTGGCATACTCCAGTTAAAGAGCTTACACTTTTTTTTTCACCCACTCCGTCCAGATTAAAGTATCCTGGTTATCGTTGTCTCCAGTTTTAGTCTTGGCAGCCTGTGACTCCTTAATAGATGCCGCGTTGGCCTGTTTGTTGCTTTTTTTAAGGATGACCTGTTTTAGATTCCGTACTGTAGACGTTCCATATCTTTCTGATAGGTTTGTAATCGCTCCACAGCATATCGAGTATCTTTGAAATTATTGCATCATTTCTCTGGTTAGTGTTTTTGACCTCTTCTTGTTTTACCTCTTGCAGTTAAATTGAATCAATTATGCTTTTTTTTTCTTCTCCTTGCTGATGAAATGACGTTAAATTATTAGTTGTTTAAATAACCTGCTTCATAGTGTAATAACGTCTGTACAAATGAAAACATGGTGTGCTGAGGGTGTTTATTGCCTGAGGAATCATGTTTATATGGTGTCAAGTGGTTGGTGGATGGATGGATGATGAAGGCTAATGTGTTTTTTTTTATACATATTTTTAAGTGCCAGAAAGTTTTTTTCATGTCCAGGCATCAAGCTGGTGGCAGGATATATTATCATCACCCTTTAAACCTGTAATGATGTGTGTTATAGTTAGGGGACTTTCTGGCTGCACCTTGCACTAGTCATTCCATGCTCAATAGTGCAGTGTAAAGTACAACTTTACTTCCTCACCTGGAAAATATTGTGTTTTGTAAAACCAGATTTCCACATACAGCCACTAAATTTCATATTATGTTTTGTAAGTAGATTAGCTAATGATCAGGAAGGCAATGCATCTTATGTTAGGGAGTAAATACAGAACATGGTCAAAACACTACATGTATTATTTAGCTGTATTTATGTTTATTTTCCATTTCAGTGTACAAACAGGGTCAAACAGAAGACAAATACATTAGAAATTAGTAAACCTCCATACAGTTTTTCTTTGCAGTTGTCATTTAGAATTTGTATAGTTTCTTCATTTCAGTTCTAAGAATAATCATAATGGTTTTCAATTCATTTTTATAGATCACCAAAACTTTAAAGAATTAACCCAATTAAATAAACTGCTAGAGCAAAACAAAGTGCACCATATAAGGAATAATTTAATACTTTTCAGGATGTCAGTGGTAATCATATTATATCTTTTGTTTAATAATCCTTTACATTATGGTTGGGTTAATTCTGTAAAGTTTTGGTAATCTCTAAATCTGAATTTTATTTATCTTGGGATGTGAATTTCAGTAAATCATCTTGCATTCAGATGAAAGTTGTGGCACTGACTGTTATTTACCAGTTTTCTGCACCTTTACCACAATGTGTAAATGCATATGAGCAGTGATTCTGTAAGCTTTTGCTCTACTGAAGTCAAACCAAAGTATACGCAGTGTGTATTTTAAAACAGCAACCATCCTACTTTTCTCTTCACAATAGTTTCATTCTGGTTCAACATGGATAATGAGAAAAAACTGATGGTGAAGCTGTTCATTGGACCCGTGAAAGACTCCAGAACCCCATACTAAATGGCACATTTTTATTTAAACTTTAGACTTAATCCCAGAAAGTATTTACAGTAGGTCATGTTTGTAAGTCATTGACTTTTTAAAAGTTTTCTTAGCTCTACAAAGTGAGAGACTAAGAAACAGGGGAAAGAATGTGATGTTACAGTAAGTAACTAGGGTCTTCTGAAAGATCCCCGTTCCATATCATTAGGTGTATCAGTGGTGGAGCTGTTGCCAGGTTTCAAGTTCAAATGCGTGTTTCCTCTGCGTTAGGGCAGGACATAATAAACGATAACAACTTACCTTCGTATAAAAAAGTAAACGGTGAGAAACTTCGATAGACTGTAAATAATGAACACTGCTTCAAAGTACATATCAACCAATCACGTCACAGAAAAGAATGTCATTCCAACCAGTCATATAGTATGCCCAACATACAGGCACGGTTGATAGAGTTAGTGGAGCACGGCCCATGCTTATGTATTGATTATATTATGGAAGAAATGTCAGTGAAGAAAGCAGTGACTCAACACCCACAGCATCTTTTACTGATGTATTGTGGATAAACATGGTAAAAAACGTTGGTGGTGTGGCAGTAGGCTTGCTTTGGCTATTTAAAGTCCGACTCGTAACAAACTGGTTCTGTGTACTGTAAACTCTTCCAAAAACTTGTGCGAACAAAAATGTAAATACTGCAAACTCATGTAAATACTGCATAACTGGAAATACTGCATAACTGGAAATACTGCCATGCCTGAAGCAGTGCCATTCAACAGAACATGGAGAAGCACTTACATTCACCAGCGGTCAACACCCTGGTGAATTCTGACGGACGATTTAATCAAAATGCAATATTTACCATGGACATGGTATTTAAATACTCTCCCCCCCCCCCCCTCAATCAAAACATTTTGAGACGGACACAGATGAGTCTCGCCAAGGGAATATCTGTTAGTTTAGGTTGAAGATCCCTGTCAAAGACACAAACAGCTGTGGTTTTCACTTTCAGTCTGAAGAAATACGAGAGCCCCCAGGTCCTGATGATAAAATTTACCAAGTTCGATGGCATATTATGAGACAAATCATGTCCCATTTTGGTTCAAAATGGTACCAAGCATTTTACTTTTCACAATGGGGTGATCCCCTTATAACAGGAGGGATGACATCTGTACCTGCAATTTCAGATCCACGCCCCCCTTTGTAACAAGCAGAGAAAAAGCTGGGCAATAAACCATGCTGTTTTTGCATGATTTCTTTATTCATTTGCTGTCTTTTTCATGCTCTGAATCTGTTTAAAGGGGATCCTTTTCTTAAATTTAAGAAAAATGTAGCCTCAAATTAAAGAACTGAAATGAAAAGTATATTGTAATAAAATTGTTGCCCTAGCCTGGGTGCTGCTGTATACCCTACTCTGGGTGCTGCTGTATACCCTACTCTGGGTGCTGCTGTATACCCTACTCTGGGTGCTGCTGTATACCCTACTCTGGGTGCTGCTGTATACCAGGCTGGTATCACATGTTTATTTCAGGATGCATGTGAGGGACAGTTTAGTTTTCAGTGATGTCATATTACCTCCACAGAGAGAAAATGAATGGAATTTCTACTCTTCTGTACTGCTATGCATTTCTCTTTCTGTGTGCATGACAAATGGCAATAGTGAAAGAAGTGTCACGCCTGCATTCTCCACGCGTGAAAATTGTGAAGTTTCCCCAGGCGCTGCATGTTTAACCTGCAACGCGAGTCTGGTATTTACCTGCTCCTTTTCTGAAACTTGTCGAAGGGAAAGTTTGTGTGTTCTTGCAAGTGATGTGTCCCTGCAGAGCAGAAATGCAATGAGAGCAAATGGATGCCATCCACTCCGCTTCCAGTTCCTTTGATCTCGTTGTATCGCGGCTGATGGTGTCTTAAAACAATACTACATACTAAAGTCGTACCTTGCAGCACACAAAATAGGCTTACAGCACACATTTTTGAGTTTTCCTTGTATTCTAGCATTCAGTCTGAACATAAAGCATAAGCCATTCAGCCATGGTTTTTCTAAAACATTTCTGAGTTTTATGTTGTTTTAGTCTATTTGGGTCCTAATTATTTCTGGCATGTTACACAGGAATACAGGAGCTACACTAACCACAATAACTCTTTGCTGCTGCCTTTGTCAAAGGGTCCATGTTTATGACAATTGTTCGTGTTCTGCTAACATTCCTTGCGGCACATTCTCTGATGAATAGGATAGAAAAATGTCACCAACTGCACCATAAATATAAGGAAGCAGCTGCCTTGAAGACTAAAAATAATTCTGTTTTTTCTTCACTCTTGATGACTTTACTGTACAAGTATTCTGTGTTATGACTACAAGAAGATTTTTCTTTATTAATCTGATACATTTTACAGTTTAACCAAGCTAAAATTTGACTAGAAAAAGGCGCCGTTAATTTGAATGTGGGATCAATTGTGAGTTTCCATCATAGTTCTTCAAATTATGTATTTCATTATGCGCACTGAATGTTATGCATATTTAAAAATAGAGTACTGTTAAAAACACTTTAATCCATGGCTTTAATCCATGGTATGGGCTTTGTTTTATTGTCATGACTGTGTTAAGTTGCATGTGAGGAAAATCTTTGCCAGCAACAAAGATAATATAGATGGTTCTACCATGTCCTAGTTATATTTATAAAGTGATAAATTTATAAATCACCAAACACAAGACAGACATGAAATGCAGCGCATATCAGACACAGAATACGGGGGATGAAGGCAAGAAATCTCAAATCTGTACTATTTTAAGTAGTCTTAGGCTGTGGGATTGTGTCAGCTCCCACTATCAATAAAACAAGATGTGTCTTATTTATTTAGCAACACATATGAAGCATGGCAATTATGCTAATTC